CCTCCGATCCGGGCCCCGCGAGAAATCCCCCCCCCCCGCCCGCCTGTTTTTTTTTTTATACCTCCTCTTTCAAAATTAAAAAAAAAGAAAGCGGGGGGGGGGGGGATTTCTCGCGGGGCCCGGATCGGAGGAACAGCCTGGTATGTCCGGGCTCCTTCCTTTTCCCTCCTCTTTTCCCTTTCAGCTTTCTAGCAAGTTGCTTTTCTTGGAGGGAGGTGGTGGTGGTGCTGGAACCGAGGTGCAGATCCGCGCTTCTGGAGCAGGTGGCGAAGTCCGGCAGCAACCCTCCTATAACCGCGAAATCGGGGAGGGATTGGGAAGAGCCGGTTTGGAGAAGGCACAATTGGAGTGGCAGTTCGGCTTCTCAGGAGAGCTGGGAGCGGGTCTGGAATATAAGTTTCCTCCCCTTCTCCCGTGCAAAGTAAAAAAACCCCGACTTTCTCCTCGCTCCCCCTCACCCTTTTCTCCGTCTTCAGATGGTGGTCCTGCAGTCTCTTCACAAGTACCAGCCTCGCCTGCACGTGGTGGAGGTGAACGAGGACGGTACCGAGGACACCAGCCAGCCGGGCCGGGTGCAGACCTTCACTTTCCCGGAGACGCAGTTCATCGCTGTCACTGCCTATCAGAACACCGATGTAAAGTGCTTTTCTCGCTCGCTCAGTTCTGGCCTTTTCGGGATTTGGGGGCACAAGTGCACCCACGGAGGCCGGGAGGGTGGAGGCGAAACTCCCGGGACTGAGTGGGAAATCGGGATTTCAGACAACAAAGTGATGCGGTGGATTAATTTGTCTAAGGTGTTTGCGACATTATTCTAACCTGCCTTCAAGCCCCCATTCTGCCCAACCCCAACTGCAATTTAAAAAGAGGGGAGAGAACGTCTCAGATCCTCCAAGAAAGTCAAGAGCAGTAAATATTTCAGATTGCTTTAGGAGAGCATCTTAACCCGCTTTGGATACAAGAACCTCCCTATAGGCTGGTTTTGCCCCTCGTCCCCAAAGGCAAAGGTTCCGCTCCTTCTCCTGGTCAGATCTGTTTGGAACTGTTTACTTTCGTGGCCTAATGCAGAGCCGGCCCTACCGTGAGGCCATGGTCTCAAAAGCAGATCTGGCGCGCCTCTCAAGGGCAGCAGATTGATCGTTGTTTAATGCATGACTACCGCGTTTGACTATCGCAGAAGGCGAGAGGGGTGCCAGAATAACTTGGCTGGATCTAGGACATTTGAGCCTTGATTTGTGGAGGGCACCCTTTGCTTCTCCCTTGTAGGCAGCAAAATGCCTAATGCATGAGTGAGAAAATCAGTGCACGCCTATGCAGAAGAAAATCTCGGGGCTCAGTTAAATTAATTTCCAGGAAAATGGGGAAAAGCAGCCCAACCGAACAAATCTGTCTACAAATCTGGCTTCGATTACCACTTTCTCTGTTTTAGATTCTAAATCACTGACGAGCCAACTACAGGTTTGGGGAATCTATTATGTGTTTTTACCAGACATGGGAAAGATTACTCTTAGTTAACCAGGACTTTGCTTAATTTGAATCATATAATTAGCGAAGGGACAGAAGAAATCTTTGGCCGTGTTCATTCGACCTACTGAACTACAAACCAGCCAACCACATTTCAACCTAGTATTATGGCGGGAACCAATCCCCTGTAGTTCATTTGTAGTTTAGCCTGTCCTGAGTAAACTGAAAATTAGGAAAAAGAGCATTCTGTTAAATTAACCATGGCAAGTATATGCTACTATATTGCTGCCATTGTCAAATAACTGAGAATCAGAGATCCCTCCCCTTCACTGCAAATCATCCAGAGCTCTCGGTCCAGATTTAGCTTCTGCAGTGTTCCCTGGGCTAAATATTTGTCCGTCTGGCCATTAAGAGTCTTGTGACACTTCCGAACATGTGACTAGATGCTAATCCCCTCGCAGATCTATCCTCGGCAGAATTGTTCCGAAGTGAGTCTTCGCTCCCAGTTAATTAGGCGGGACTTAGCTCTAAATAAGAGACGAGATACCTAAGCCGAACCTTGATTCTGTGGTCCTTCCAGGAGGTTCCCTGAGGCAGAATAAAGAGCAAACTGGGAGGCGAAGTTTCTCTGCTCCGGATCACAAATCCCTGTTGATCCTTCAAAATGATTAACTTCGTAGGGAAGGTTGTGTGGCATATGTGCTGGGGAAGAGGCACCCAGTCCTCATTTATTTTCATCCCCTTTCTTTTCATGAGAGATTCTCACAAGGAAACAACTAGAGCCTGTTCCCTTAAAAAGAATTAATCCACCCTGAAACAGGTTAGGGGTCTGCTTGCCTTAAACAGAGAATCAGCAGAGGAGAGACCACTGTTTGACTCTTTCCCCTCCCCTTCCCTCTCTAGATCACACAGCTGAAGATCGATCACAATCCCTTCGCAAAAGGCTTCAGAGACAACTACGACACGTAAGTCCCTTGTCTTGAGCCTTCTGTTGGTGATGGCACATCCAGCCCTGTTAAATCGAGAGTGGGTGGGTGGGTTCCTTGACTTATCCAAATAAGACCCCCCAGACTTTCGAGTGTGGGTTATCTGTACTACTGGATATGCCCCTAGGATAAATGTGCTGCTTTGGGAAGAACAGGAGAGTGTGCAATTTTAACATGTGAACTAGAGGAGCAATGGTTAAAATGATGGGTGTGTACGCAACTCTTAAAGTGATCCTTGAATGCTTCTCAATAGGAGACATACCTGGCTCTCAGCTTCACATCTTGTCTTTCTCTGTAAAGACTGTCCATAGGGTAAAACTTATGTTTGTTGAACGGACAACTTAATGCGGTAAATCCCAAAGGATGAGCTTCTTTGTAGCTGGTCAGGAAGAGAAAGAAGGTTTTTTCCCGTTGCCCCACTGCCTACCCCAGTGATGAAGACCTCAGTCATTCTCAGTAGCATTAGAACTCTATTCCACGAGCGCCCAGCTTAAGATCGTTCTGTTAGCTCTGCAACTTTGGTAAAGGTATCTCGAGTTCTTGCTTGGGCTTTGTGGTCCAAACTGCCTGCCCTCGAACTGTGGTTCAAGTTTCGGCTGGTGGCAAACTGTCCCTAGAACAAGAAGGTGCAATGGTTCCCCAGTTTCAAAGTGAAGTGAATGTGTTGAACCTAAGCAGCAGGGAGGTTCCCACTGACTCGTCAGAAGCAGCGCATTATCCAGTGGGATCATTACTGGTCCTGAATACAAACTCTATAAACTCCCACAGAAAATCAGGCCCCTGGAAACCCTTTACAAATAAAACAAGCAATTAGGAATCAGGCGTGGTTTGGGGTTGCCCAGAGCTCTTCCCCTGCCCCGAAGAACCCCACTACCTTCAGCGGGTCTCCGTGGATCTTATAAAACACCCGGAGCCTAATTAGTACACTGTTATTGTACGGCTGGACTTCTCCCAGATTATCTCCAATTACAAACACTGCAAAGCTGTTGCTAACTTCCTGAAGCCCTGTGTTCAATTTTAAGCTAAGCTTTAAAAGGAACTAGTCATCTATTCCGCCCCCCCCCCACACGCATGCCTTAGTTAGCCTGAGGATAAAACCAGGGTCATTGTAAGAGTAGCAGTAATTGTACTGGTACTGTTTTGTATTCTGCCTTTCCCCTGAAAAGGTGCTCAAGGAGGCTCTCCCATGCCTTTCTTCCTGATTCACCAGCCCCAGGAGACCAACTAGTCTCCCACCTCTGCCGTAAATAGGCAAACCATCCTGGCGCTGGGAAAGGGGCAAGGCTCCAAGCAGAGCTGCAAGGAGGGAAAGGGAAGTCCTCTTTCTAGGTGACTTGATGCTGATGTTCAGCATGACTCCTGAAGTTTGCCGCACAGTCCTCTCTCTCAGATTACTCCAAAGTAACCCCCTTAAGAGTTCAGTAGGGGTTAGCATTCTCAGCTAAGAGTGAGGGATGTGGACTGGCAAGCACCCTGTTTCTGTCTGGAGAAAAAGATGAGCCAGCTGGCCTCGGGAAGGTAGGCCTTTGGGAAGAGGGGGCAAGGGGGTTCTTTTGAAGCCTCACCTTGAAGGAAAGAAAAGTGGGGCAGCTGGAAGGCTGATAGCTTAGAGTTCTGGTGCCCTACAAGTGAGTTAGACTACCCCTCCCAAAATCCCCAGCCAGCTGTTCCCTGATCTCATGGGAGCGATAGTTGCACACATTTAGGTGAAAGTTATTTGCTTGAAGCCTGTTGGGTGTGACTCACTGGGGGGCAGATCAGGGGACACAAAGAATCAACTGTCCCGGGATGTATTAAGTTGCTGTGGAGGTTGAGCATTCTCTGCCACCAAAGAGTGTCACACTGTACAACTGCTTGGCTTCCCTGTCTCAGTTCTCCCCAACCTCCAGTGCGTGATTGACCAATCAGATACTTCAGCAAAGCATAAGGTCATGGCGGCCAGAACTAATGCTGGAAAAAAACAAAAAACAAAAGAAATCGAGATGCGTTAATGGAAGAAAAGTGCGAGCAAAACTAAGCCAGGCCGAACCACAAGCGGGGTTCCTTAATCAGCTTGCGCCTAGCCGGGTTATAAACTTTCTCCTGTTAGTGCCACGACTGAATGCCTTTTCTTCAGCCACGCAATTCCGAGGAGCAAGCCAAGGGTGAGGTAGCTTATCTACATTGATTAACCCAGAGGAAAAGGGTGTGATTGTCTGTTTGCCCCCTCGGGTGCCCTCGACAGACACTTGATGATTGCAAGGATTTCAACTGAGCACTGCCTCGCTGGCCTTCTAGCCCTGCTGCTGGCGCTCTGGAAGCAACCTGTTGGGGTAAATGTGCCTGGACTATCCCGCCTGCAGTTCCTACCAAATGGATACGGAGCACCTTTTGAGTGCATCTGGGCCTGCGGCCACTTGCCCCACTAAAAGGCTAAGTCTGGGATGACAGACAGGGAATCCTGCTTGAAATCCAACAGCAGCTTTGGGCTAACCAGGATTGACTGGAGCGGTACCCAGCCGTCCAGGGAGAATTTCAGATGTGAGTGATTTCCCCCTCCCCTTAAAAGGGCTTTTAAACACGTTTTTAAACAAACATAGTCATAAGTGTGCATTAGCAAACCCGACATAATCCAGTGTTTCCTTATCTGGGTTAGTTATCAAGCAGATCGGGCCTTGCAGAAGCCAGGCAGCAAATCTCTTCCTTTCTGGATCTCCGGGTGCGGGGCCTTGTCGGAAGCTCGAGGCTTCTTGTTATGCGTGGGCTCCATTTCATTTAAAGGGTCAGGAAAACGTGGGAAGTTCTGGGAGTCCCTAGTTTTGTGAGGTCATCCTGTTTAATAGATCCATAGGCAGACATACAATTTACTCAGTACAAAGTAAAACCCCTGTCCGGATTTGGCTGCTGAACAGTTATAAAGGGGAAAGCTATTCTAAGGCAAGCTCTGCCTGAAACAAGCTCTAGGATTGTGCAGTACTGTAAATTCATAACGCAAAGCCTGTAGCCCTTTGGAGTAAGAGAATATTGTAAAGATCTGCACCGAGGAGGGTCTCCCGATGTAAGTCAGGTGGCTGCACAATTTTACCAGTCGCTTCTGATTTTTTATTCCTGAGGTCCACCACTTCCATGGTTCTTCCATTCTCTCCTGGAGAGGCACTCTACAACTTTAAACAGGTTCTTTCCTCCCCAAATGAAGCAAGTTCATTTCAGCGGAGCTTCAAT